ATGCTTCCTGAAGACATGGTACATAATTGTTTAAGTCGTATCTCAAGATTGTATTACTCGAGTCTTTCCTTAGTTTCCAAGAAATTTGGATCTCTCCTTGCTTCACCTGATCTTTACATATCCCGGTCACTCTTAGACCGGACTGAGGGTTGTCTGTACGTGTACTTACAACTTTGTACTGACTCTAACCAACAACGTTGGTGTTGGTTTACTCTCTGCCATAAACCAAATAGCTCTAGCAAAATTTTGGTCCCAGTTTCATCTCCCAATTCTCCCTTTGAGTGCAAGTCAAGTGTTGTAGCTGTTGATTCTAGTATTTACGTCATTGGTTGTGAAGTAAATGATAATGCATCGTCTAGAGTCATGGTCATGGACTGTCATTCTCACATATGTAGTGAGACCACAAGCATGCAAGTGGCCCGTTTGTCACCATCTGTTTGCGTCGCTGATGGGAAAATATATGTAACCGGAGGCTGCGAAAGTGGCGATTCAACGAACTTGATCGAGGTTTTCGACACCAAAACCAAATTTTGGGAGTTTTTGCAGATCCCTAGCGAGGAGATACGCGAAGCCTCTAAATACAAAACCATGGGATACGAAGGAACCATCCATGTGGGTTTTGGGCGTGAGAAGGGTAAATGGAGAAAGACAGACTTAGAATTAGATTCAAGTTGGGAATTCTCACCTCACTGTGTGATAGATAACGTGTTGTACTATTTCCGTGGTATCATGATTTATTGGTATGACTCCAATGATAAACGCTGGAGAGATGTGAAAGGATTGCCTAGGACTTTTATGTCTTTTCCTTGTCGCTGTGGTTGGAGGACACTTAGATTGGTGGGGTATGGTAGAAACATGGTGGCTTTATGGGAGGAGTGTACGATTATCAATCACCATGCAAAGAAAACAATACGGTGTGCGGAAATTTCTCTTGAAAGAAGGCAAGAAAAAGAGATTTGGGGGACGATCAAGTGGTGCGATATTGTGCTTGTAACCAACAAGGACGATCGTTTAGTAGATGCTGTTGCTGTTACTCTTTGATGTATTGGTGAATGACTTATCAATCTTATGAATCTGAATCGTTCAATGTTGTAATACATATCTTTGGTAGTGTTTTCTTTCCATCACAACCTCAAAAAGATAAAAAGTATTAAGTTAACCTCTGTAAGATATGCTATGCTCTCTTCTGACTCACTGGAACTTCTTTCTTGAAGTCTTAGTCTATATTTTGGGGTTCGAGGTGATCCATAATCATAATCCTTATTATGTCTTCTTCTTCTTCTTATAGAAGCATCATCAAAAGACGCATACCTGAATTGGTAGACCACACAGAGCTGTGATCAAGACATACTAGTTGTTGAAACAGCAAAGCAGGACCAAGGAAGATGACGGAGAGCTTCCGAAACCACTGAGTGATGAATCACCCTGAAAATTTAGAATGAAAAGGATGAGAATGTATGATCTACATTTCAATTCAGGGTACATGTTCCTCCAAGTGAAAGGAACTTATAATCAAATTTAAGATGGTTAGCCATGTAACTTGGAACACAAGAGATCATGTTATATTTGACAAGTTCATGAGAGCTTTTTTCAGTGCTAAAAGGAAAGAGTGGTGTCAGGGTGACTGTATCTAGGCACACAAGAGGCAAATGATCTTACCTTCTTCTTGCAAGTCATCATTATAAGAATCTCTTTTAACAAAATCTCCTTCAGATTGGAAGACAATAAAAATGTGAGAAATAAGTAAAAAATGATGTCATTCATGGACCGAAAGCCAATAGTACCATTGGATGTGGTATGTTCGGAACGTTTGTTCTATATTTAAGTACTCTCTTCACCAATTAGTGATTTCACACAAAACAAAAACAACAAATTCTTATTAATTTCTCATAGACTGAAAAGATGGCTATGAGACTAGTCACTGGAAGATGAGCGATCAGAGCCTGTGTTTCCTCGTTTTCGTCAGGTTATACTTTATGCGTCACTCTCATGTAAGAACTCTTTCAATCTCTCTTTAGATTGCTCCCCTTTTTCTTTCACGTATCAACAATTTTGATTATTAGCTAATCATCAAGCGATTTCAAGAAAAGTTGTGTTCGTTGAACATTATTTTGTATTTTGTTTTAAGATGCTTTGGGAGGTATATTAACTATTATTATTAGACGATTATATATAAATGATATGTTACATTTAAATAGCTTCATGAATTGTTTGATGAAACAGGCACTTTCTGGTGATGCAAAGAAGATTGTTGGAGTTTTCTACAAGGTATATATACGCATCCATGAACCCTAACTTTCTTGGTTGGGTCGAGAATGCTTTAGGAATCCGTGAATGGCTAGAATCACAAGGACATCAGAGCAGCCACAATGGAGAGATCTCCTACAGATCTTAAATTAAAAAAAAGGAAAATTTTTTTAAAAAAATGACGTAGAGAGTTTTTTAGATTGAATCGATGATACAGGAGTCGACTCTTCCTCTTCTTTTGCCATGTGTCATTATATGATTAGTCAATTGTTTTTTTATTTTTTGAAAATCATCTTTAAAAAAAAAACTTTTTTTTTATTACTTAGAAAAGCTGCATGTGAGACTTTCCATTGCTGATGTTCTCAGTACATCGTCAACGATGACAAAGAAGGCCCTCACTGTGGTAAATATTCTTCTGATTCTACTCTCTTTTTAATTCTACCAAATGTGACGTCGTAGTCATTAACACTCCTCTTACAGAGAAGACAAGGTACGTACGACGCTAATATCATAAAGAATCACGAACAAGACATTTGACTAATGAGTTTTATTTTTTTTGTTTAAAATAGAGGAATGTTTAGGAAAGAGATGATAGCGAAAATGAAGAGAGGCGTTCTGATTGTGAATAAGAACAATATGAATCTAATTGCTAAGAATCTGTTTTCGGTTGGCCCATATAGAGAGCCCACTACTAATTCTTTGACATTGCAAGCAAAGCTCAGGGGAAGAATCCTATAACGTCATCTTCAAAACCAATATTCCAATTTTGTTGAAGAATCCTATAATATTTTGTCCCTTATCATCCTCATTCATGCTTGATCATACATATATGATATATTTATCATAACTGTTGATAAAGGTCCACCTGATCAGCATCTTAATTAAAGATTTCATGCCTCCTTAATTCTACTATTTGAAGTTTACTGTTTTTTGGTAGGTGAAGTGGATAAATTGAAAATGATTAGACGACTAAACACGTTACATAATCCCTTACAAACCCTTGAGTTCTATTGTCTTTCTCAGGTGTAAGATTCACTAAATTTTTGCATACCTTAATTCAATATGTCGCGTCCTTTGTTCATCATGAAGGCGTATTATTGCATGTTTTTCTTAACTGATATTAATAGTTTTGCGACGAATGATCAGGTATGTGTTCATTTACTAAGCTTGAGGTTCCATTAAAATGAATTATTTTGTACTTCACCTCTTCAGTTTTTCTCTGTAAAAAATTGTATATTTTCTACGATTTTATTATCTTGTGGTGTTACTAATAAAGTTTTATCTCAATTCCATCCCTAAATCAGATGTTTTCCTATGCAAATAGAATCAGTTAAATTTTCACATGGCTTTCTCTGATCCTGAGATTAGTTGGATCTCATGGCCCATTAACCCGAGAAACCAGTTAGTTAGGGAGAAAATTTTTCGCAATCTTGTTTAAAGTTCGTGGTGTTCCTTGAATCGAATTACCCAAATTATATATATATAAAAAAAAATCAGTTAAATTCATGCGGATAAAAAGAAAACGAATCGTAAAGGGTAAGTGTGAGTATGACAAATTTGATAATGGGACACGTCTAAGCAATCGAGAACAACACATAAATATGCGCATTATCATTAAAGTAATCATTTAGGAATATCTTTTTACCTAACAAACCTTTTTGGTATTAGCTGATGATTAACACTTGTAACCTTAAGAAGAAAACAATTATGATATCTTGGCACGTGTCACCCACACAACTTAGTGCATCCTTCACATGACTCCCCAAAAGAGCAAAGAAAAAAACAACAAGCCTTGGTCCCCAACTATTATATAGCGCAGGCAAGATTTTTGCCTTTCTTTTATTTTTATTTTTATTTTCTCTTTTCTTTTGGACAAGACATGACTTATGGATTGTGATATGTAAGTATTTATGTAAAAACAACAACAATAGTTTTAAGTATAAATAATTTTTAAAAAATGTTACATGTTACCACCTTTTCTGCACAAAGAAAAATGATACTCCCTCTGTTTTATAATAAATGTCATTTAAAGAAAATATATCTGCAATGTATCTAAATGTATTAAACTTAAAACACATCTAAATATATCCAATTACTATGCAAATACATTTTCTCCAGATGACACTTATTATAAATCATAAAGAATATAGAGTTTCTCTACTGAAATAATAGTGTATTCTAATCACATTTTGAACCTTTACAATGGTCATTTATGACTAAAATCTCATTGAATACTCGAACACTGGTCCTATAACTATAAGAGTGACCACCATATATTCGTTTCCATCAATGTTATTTTTTCCAATCATTGTGATCATGTTCTATTTTCAAGATTTATGACATTGTCTTTGGCAAATAATCAAAGACATAGATAATGTTGTTGGTTCAAAGTTATAACAAAAAATAAAATTTATTAATTACCCTGAGTTATCCTTGAGCTACAATAAAAGAAGCTTCTCATAGTACATCACTTCTCTGATCTGCTTTTCATCTTTTGGGTGTAAGAACAACATACAATAGCTTCGGAGTTTGAACCATTACACAAGCTTAATTTTTCTTCTTTCTCTCCCCTTCTCCGACCAAAAAGGGTTGACCTTTACAAAACCCTTTTGACCACCAGTCACCGACTTTAGCTCTGTTCATGATCTCTTCTCTACTTCGCTATCTTCAAATTTCTCCAGAGGCCGAACCGATACTTCTATGCACAAATCCCTCCTGGCACTCACTCATGCATCCTCAGAATTCTTCTAGTTTCAAGCACAAGAGCATCTACACCTTGCCCGAGTCTCTTCGAGCCCCTGACCAAAAAAAATCCAAATGTTTTCAGTTTTTAGGAAAAAAGAAGAAAGCAAGAGAGATAATAGTGTGCCCATACAAGTGAGAACATATATATACCTTCACTTGTTCTTGCAGGTCCTTGATGTACTGAACCGCAAGATCCAACATATCTGCTGTGTTTGTTTGCTGCATATCAATTGAAGACGATAAATACATTTGAAGCAAAGAACGCCAAAAGCAAAGATAGAAAAAGGAAATGAGTGATGAAGAATCGATTTCCCAACCGTGTCCATGTTCGGAACAAGGTCTTGCAGCTTCCTCATTCTTTCACTGATCTTGGTTCTCCTCACCTGTTCCAAAACATTTTTAGAAATATTTTTTTTACCTTAAGAAGAGATTAATATCATATAAGCCATGTAGAAGAAGGACTTTACTCTCTCTGCAATGCTCCGTGGATGAGTGGCGCAGCCACGCTTGGCTCTGATCTTACACGGGATAGAATCTGAGAGCAACTGTTCAATATCTGACAAAGACTTGGGCAAACTCATGTGATGCGCCAGAGGAGGACGTCTACTAGTTGAATCCTCTTCCTGCTAAATAGTTTTCATCACTCAGTTTCACAGCAAGAAACATCAAAGCTTTCTTTTTTTTTTCCAATTGAAAATCTCTCAGCAATGAGGTCATACCTTGGTTTTGTATTGATCTAGACCACCAGATTGGGTCCTTGCAATAGCCGTAAGCTTAGAAGAAGCAGAGCCTTCATTCCCAAACGAACGATTAAAGCCACCAGAGAGTGTTCGAGGAGGCAATCGAGAGGAGAAAGCAGGCTTGACATCAATCTCAGAGATGGGACTCATCGGTCTTGAAGCTGAAGGAGGAAGCTTGCTTCTAGGAGTAAGAGATGAAGCTTCAGTACTGTTGCTTGTGTTCATCACAGTACCTCCTCCAAAACCTCCCATGCTTTTCATTACTGCTGCATATGCTGCAATTTGCAGAAGAAGAAGAAAAAAAAACAATTATAGATTCTAAAATTGGAGTAACCAAACACACACACAAAAAGTTCAATAATTGCAGATTTCTAGTACTATATATCTCTAATTAATTACTAATTATTGAATCCCAAATCTATAGAGACTATTCATGTTTTTAGTCCTATCAAATCGGAGGCATATTCTTAAAAAGCTACCAGAAAAGTTTCCAGATAAGGAAATAATTTGAAGTTAACTTTTCTAAATTAGAAAAGGGGCAAAAGGAGATTTCTCGAACCTGTTTCGACATCTACGGAGGAAAATAATCCGGCGGGCGAGCTATTATGCCGAGCGAGGTTACTCGCCGGAGTCCGATCGTTGTTCTCTCGTGGTCTTTTGTTCTGACCTAAATTCCTCACCACCGAAGCATACCCAATCGAATCGGGAGCCACTGAAGTCACCACGCGACCAACATCACCACCGACGACCTCCATCGCCGTCGCCGGAATATCTACCACCTCCGTCTTCACCTCCGGAGGTTTCTTCTCCGTCCCGTCACTGTTTTGCCCTGAGAATGTGTGGTGGAGGAAACTATCGACGTTGTTGCTTGTGTCGGTGGTTTGTAAGAAGCCAGATAAGATTCGCTCCGTCTCGGGGCTAGTCGGTCGATCTAAGAACTCTTCGATCGATTCTCCTTCTCCGAAGCTCGAGAAATACGAGCTCGGCGCGGATTGGTACCGAATCAATCCAGAGTTTCGCGGTCTCTGGTGTTGATGATCGTGGAGAAGGAAGTGATGCTGCTGAAATTCTGACTCCATCTTAGTAGCTTTGGAGTTCCTCTCCTCCTGTGTTATTTTCTCCGTTGAAAAATGATAGCACCGGAAGTTTAGCTGATTCACCGGGAGACTTTCCCGGCGAGAGATCTCTGAGATTAAAATTAAAAATGTATAAAATAAAACAGAAAGTGAAAAAATAAAGAGAACGTGATGGAAGCTTATGTGAGAGCAGCGGAGAGAAGAAAAAAAACAACAGAAGGCAGGTAGAGATTGGGATTTATGAGCGTTTAGACAAAAATACCCTTTGTGGTATCTTCTTATTACGAGTGGAAGCCGTGACGCTGACACGTATGGGCCACGCGGGGACCACATTATTTTATTGTTTGTATATTATTTTCGTACATTTTATATAATACTTAATCATAGCAGTAGAAAATCATTTTTTTGCTAGACACAAAAATATTTTTTCTTAAAAACAAATATATATTTGTTTTTTCTGCTTCTGTAGAATCCAAAAGTTTTGTAATAAGGATGTTCGTATCGAGACATAAATTGCGGACAAAGTTTGTAATTAAATGATTCGGTTATTTAAAATTACTATTCGAAGTATATCCAATAACATTTGTTTTTGTACTCCATTTAGCTGATGTATCCGTTGCAATAAATTATCTATTTTGTGACATGCTTTTGCTACTGTTGTTTTTATTTTTGTGAACCTGAAATTTTATTTTGTGTTGCATATTTGCAGTCATAATCAATATGGTTAACCTATTGTGTTCAATAATTTTCTTGTTTTGCGAAAAAAAAAATCTAGCAGCTTTTTATGTTTCTTGACTTTATCTCCTTTAAAAAAAAGACTTGTGACTTAAAATCCGCAATTATTGACATGATTCAGAACTTTCAAAATAACAGACAGAGATAATGATATTTTAATAAAATGACGACTATATATTATTGTGGGATTTAAAGCTGTTGACTTAAAGCTATAAAAATGGCTGAGAATAAGGACATACATATGTGTCGATATGACGCATATTGAAATGACGGAAAACTTAAAAGAAAAACAAACTAGAAGAATATTGTGATTTAAATCCGGAAAATAAAATTAAAACTAAAATAAAATAAAAATAGTTGGAGAATCAGACAGGTGTTGATATGCCAATCTAGGGCTCCAAATTTTAGGGAACCTTTCAAGCGACTAAATCCAACTATTCACGCTTGGACACGTATGTACCTCGGCATAAAAAAACAGGACACGTAATGTACCTTCGTTTCTGTATAATGGAGTATTAAAATATTCAACATTCAATAAAATACATACAAAAAAATACTAGTACTAATAATACATATCCGAATTCAAATTAGTCAGGACAATTAATAACTGAGTGTTGGAAAAAATAAACTAATGTTGAATAGACTTTACCTTCGAACATTATTCACAAAATTGCATACAAATACTGTAGTTTTTATTGGTTTAATTGTTATTTGTGACACTGTTCTTTTGGTTTAGTTTTATGTAAAATTTAGAAGTTATTCTCTTTGTTATCTAAAATAACATCTTGTATGAGAAAAAATAAGTTATATACATACTTTTATTTAAATTAAATACTAGCATTATAAAAGTTTGACTACATGATTCATGGTTCCATACATGCTCGATTGAATAACCTAATGATATGAAACTTTAATTTGTTTTAAAATCAAGCCAACAAAAAAAAAAAAAATAGTACAGGTTGAAACTCGCAGCTTACTTTCAGATTTACAAGATACTTACTTTTGGATGATTTAAACTCTTAAATCACAGAAAAATTTATGAGTTTCTATCACATAATATTACTTCGCAATGAATTAGTAACTAGTTATATATATTTGTATATAGTAAATCAGATTTCAATGTAGAATTCACTTAAAACCACCAAGCACAAACTGAGATATATTCTTAACCGTTTGTCTATCATTTTGTTTGTAAGAAAACTATTTTGGTAACAAGAAAGTACTCCTTACTTTGTAACAAAGAAAACAATATCCATAAATATAAGATAAGGTTTGAGGATGTGAGAATCGAGGTGGAATACAACAGAGAAGCACAATCTCACGTGGAACTTAGGCGTGAAGATCCTCTTCCCAGAAATAGTAAGCCACCTATTTAGAATCTTTCTCACTTTCTTATTTTTATCTCAAAAATGCATATTTGAAAGTCTTTTTTGATTTTGCACTTTTCCTTACTTTTTAGTCCCTTATTATTCTAGAAGACTACATTGTGCATTAGTAAATCAATGCCTTTAAAATGGAATTATTATTTTTTTGAACAAGAGTTTAGAAATGACAAGTAGTGAGCTATAACACATTTCTACTAGTTGTGATGTCTTAGACTATCGGGTTTACAGAGACGATCTTTGGATCAAGCAGAGATGAAACCCAAAACTTGGAGTGCCAATGTTCATAATATGTTCGAGGCTTTTTTTAATAAGTTTAATTGGCCAGTTAACATAATTATAAAGTGGTATTCACTCACCATATATAACGGAACTGTTCTATTCAAATAAATATTCTTTTATGTAAAAGTGAAATATTTTTTTTTTATTAGTTGGTTATTATAATTTTAAGTTAAGTGAAAAATTGATAATCTTTTGGAAAAGGTTAGTTGGGCCGATTAACAATGGACCCATCGTCGGCCCATTGTTACCAGCCCATTATCAGTCTACTTTCGATGGTGTATTACATGAGGCCCAAGGAAAAGCCCAAAATAGTAAAAATATGAACTTTTTCGTTCCCCATGGACTGAAAAATTCAGAGAAGGACCAAATTTGAAGTTTCTCTCACACTGCTCTGATCTCAGCTCCGATCTGTGAATCTCTCTCGTCTATCGCCTTCAACGGGAAAACTATTTTCTTTTTTCTCCCGGAGACGAGGAAAGAATGCAGTTCTTCGGTGGATCCGAGATAAGTCCGTCGCCGCCGGTTCCGACGGCGAGTGGAAACAACGCGCACATGATGTACGTTTTCAACCGTAACGGTGTCTGCCTTCTCTACAAAGAATGGAATCGGCCTCTTCATACGCTCAACCCTCAGCAGGATCACAAGCTCATGTTCGGCCTTCTCTTCTCCCTCAAATCCCTCACCGCCAAGATGGATCCCGTCAAGTTAGATTTTCTCCTTTTCCGATTTTATTGGATTTGACTTTTCGATTTGATCAATTTCGCTCTAATTGGATCTTCTGTGATTTGTGTGCATTTTGTTAGATGATTTCAATCGATTTGTCCGATCAGTGTTGTGTTGATTTTGCTAGATCTCACGCTAAAATCAGTTTTTGATTTTGGGTTTTTGCAGTGCGGATAAAGGGAATCTGGGGGTTCCACAGCTTCCGGGACAAGGATGCTCTTTCCATAGCTTCCGTACGAACACTTACAAGCTGAGCTTCATGGAGACTCCCTCTGGTATTAAGGTTAGCTTTCAAAATCTTCACATCCTGTTCTTAGATTTTCCAAATTTTCGTTACAATGTTTTCAGTATGATATAGATAATCTGGAACCTGGCTAATTGTTTAAGGAGTTTTTAGTGAGTCTCCTGTAGAATTTGATCCCCAAAGTCATTATCTTGGTGTCTACGTAAAGAACTTGAAGAGATTCTATATTGAAGAATATGGGAACTAGGGAAATGAGTATGAAACTGGAACCTGGCTAATAGTTACAATATTTTCAGTATGATATAGATAATCTGGAAAACCTGGCTAATCGTTTAAGGAGTTTTTAATGAATGAAAAGAATTGTCCCTTGTAGAATTTTAACTCCAAAGTCATTATCTTGGTGTCTACTTAAAGAACATTAGGAGATTCTATATTGAAGAATGTGGGAACTAGGGAAATGAGTATGAAACTTGAATGGTTTTAGCAATCTGAGCTGAGTTATGTATCAAAAGAGATTGATATGTTTGAAGAAGCTTGAGGAAATAGTTAATGAATAGTCAATGGTTTCTTATTAAATTGTGTGTTCAGTCTGTAAACTATGTCCAGCTCATTAGGGTGCCTAGGTTCCTTTTAGGGCACTCATCATGGGAGTCTTCAAGAATTAGATATTAGCTTATTTGCAGATTAGATTCAGGAGTCGTTTGATCAATATTGCTAATCAAACATTCAAGATGCTTAGCAGCTTCTTGGTGGGTTACTCAGTTTGATCTGGGCGTCAAACTCTTAAACCACAACATGTTTTTCTATTCTGTTGCAGATTATCTTAGTAACTCATCCAAAGACGGGAGATTTACGTGAATCCCTTAAGTACATCTACGGTTTATACGTTGAATACGTGGTGAAAAATCCTATTTACAGCCCAGGATCTCCAATCAAGTAAGCCTCACACATCGAATCATGAAAAAGAACTCATTGCATCGATTCAACCTGTTATTTTCTGCAAACCGTAAGCCCTAACTATGTCTCTTTGGTCTTTAAGGTCGGAGTTGTTCAACACTGCACTTGACCAATATGTAAGGAGCATCTCATAGTGTGTGCGCATTACTGATTTGGCCATTGGAACTTCTCGTGCTTCACAGAACGTTCTTCTAAGCCATCTCCATAGAGAAGAGAGTATCAATCTCGAGTCGACTGTTTTCTCTGCAAATGTATGTTTTGTTTACACTTTTTTAACTCACTGTATTGGCTTGTTATCAAAGATGTTTTATTGTTTACTCAAATCTTGAAATGCCCATATGAGCAAGAAATCGTAATTACGTCATTTAACTTAAAAGCAAAAGTAGAAATACATAGCATTAACTATTCAAAATTGAATTATAAACTATATTTGTATTTTTCATAGACAATAGTTTATATTTATTTAATTTTATAATGGCAAAACAAACGCAACTTGGAGGCTTGGGAGCGTGATGGGTTTTGGTCGAACACGACACGTGAGTTGATCTTCTAAGCATTAAACCCTTTTTGTCTTTCTTTTGCTTCCTCTAATTATTTTATTTCTTCAAATTATATAATCTATTATTTTATGAAGGATTTTTATTTTCAAAAACAAATATTAGTTTTTGTCATTTTTGTAAATGTCAATAGTTTTTGTCCCCTTCTCTCTTCTTCTTGTTTTTTTGTTTGTCCTCTCTCACTACTCATAACTCATAAGTATCAAGTCAATGGTGGATGGTTCACTCTTATACCTAAAATAATCAAGTGTGCCCGGAAAATAAGGTATCAACATTTCTAATTAATTCTTGTCGATCAATCATTCCTGATGAAAAAGTTCACTTTTGTGAGTCTGTGACTAATCTCCGAATCGATACATTTATCCCAAGTTTTATCATATCTTCATTAGATATTTGATGTGTTTCCCAAAATTCGTTTTTACCTCTCAAATTAAGAGAACCTATCTATTCATTTTTTTATTTTTATTATTTATATCCCTTTCATCCAAATTTGGCCGAACAAATAATAAAAGGACAACTATATTTGCAGAACCTTAGAAAAGGGTTTAGCTTGTAGGTGTGTTCTTATTATCGCCAAGGTTCCCGTGACTTTGCTCATATGCGCCTAAGCATTTTTAGCCTATAGATTTCAAAAAATAAAATGATTGATCCATTTCTAGCCACACATGGATATTTCAAATTATCTTCCGATGTAAAATTCAGCGTGAGACGTATTTGATCGAAAATATCGATGCCTAAAACTTACGAGATTAATTTGGGGATTAGAATAGTCATCACGCAAGAACATACACGGTTTAGAATGAATTGTATTGAATTATTGAAAGCCGTTTTGTTTAAATTTTTCGTTATATACAAGTTTTACAAACGAGTATTAACTATTTAAGAATAAAGGACGATCCAACTAAAATAAAAATAAAAATATGGAGCCAAGAAAAATAACCTTATGTGATCCTCCTAACATTTTTTTAAAATATTGGTTAGTGAATTTGAACTTTTTTTTTTTATGAATATATAACAACATACATATTTTATTATTTTCAGTTTCATCTGAACCACATACTTTAATGTTAAACTTTTAAAATAAGCAATGTACAACTTTTATTTTTCTCATTTTCTTTATCTAAAGTTTGTTTTCAGGTGAACATATGACATTTTCTATTCTCTTTATTAGAAAATAATATATATTGCTAATTAAGAAATTGGTCACTATTAGATGGACATATATGCAAGTCAGCAACTTTATATATGAATTGATATGATCGAAAATATATTTCCCATCCATGTTATTGATGACCTAGAAACCAATAGCTTTCATACCATCATATCATATCTTTAACAAAACAAAAAAAAAAGCTTCATATCATGGCTTTTACTTAAATTGTTTTTATAGAATTTGTGACTAGTGACTTCTCACTGTCCATCTGCAATAACATAAAATAATATTCATCTTGCTTAACAAAAAAAACATCGCTTAAAGTCTTAAACATTGTAATTATCAAGTAGCCTGCTTTACGACACAATTAGGTTAGATACTGTATAATTCAACAGTCCCTTTTGTTTTTATCGAACCCTCGTTTTTTCCTTGTTACATAGATGGATTAATGAATGCAATACAGTTGTTTTATGCTTTTTATGCTTTTCTAATGAGAGACAGGGATGAAAAATATATACATTTAACACAACGTTATTTTTCTTCAATTATTATTAATTAAAAACAGTAATTTGTAACAATATTGTTTAAAATTAATCTATCGATCACATTTTTGGTTTCTTGATTCTCGTTCTAATTACATCAAAATCAGAAAAGCTAAAAGACACATAAATTACAAAAAGGGTCTAATAATATGTTTTTTGACAAAAAAAAAAAAAAAAAGGGTCTAATAATATGTTAGATTCTCCCACGCATGGATCAGAAATCAACAAACGGATTGTTTTCAGAACACTCGTGCGGTAACGGTAACGGCGGCGTTCTCAGATTCTCGAAATATTTCTTTATACCAAACCCACTTGCCGTTACTGTATCCGTCGATTCTCCGTAACCTCTAAACGGAATAAACGGAGGTCTTAACACCTCCGTTAACAGGTCCCACTTCACTCCCCTGAAGAAAGCGTGCTCCTTTATTTCCGCTGCGCCACGCCGGTAACCCAACCGCCTCGTCGGATCTTTCACAAGCAATCGACGAATCAGATCGGTAAGATCGGACGGTTTGCCGGCAAATTCGGGTTCCTTCAACAACACGTTACGAAATGTCTCCTTTTTGCTTCTGCTCTTGAACGGTGTCACTCCGTACATCATCTCGTACGTCAAAACGCCGAGAGCCCACCAATCGACGGTGAAATCGTGTCCGTCGCCGCGAATTACCTCCGGTGATATGTACTCGTCGGTTCCGACGAAAGAATTCGATCGTTCGCCGCCGGAAAAACTTAATCTCCGTCGGGTAATCGGGTTAACCCGAGCGGATTTCGTCTTCTTCTTCTGCCGGAAAAATCTCAGACTTCTTTTGCGACCTAGCTTCGGATCCGGTTCCGGGTCGGATAAATAGAATTCGGGTCGGGTGGGTTTATTGAGGCTACACGAGAGGTCGAAATCGGTTAAAGTCACGTGACCCGTTTCCTGAAGGAGGATATTCTCCGGTTTCAAGTCTCTGTAAGCGATCCCCATGGAATGAAGGTGGTCAAGCGCACAGAGGATCTCAGCTAAGTAGAATTTAATAACGGAGGAGCTGAAAACGCCGTCGTTTTGACGGTGACGGAGGACGTTAAGATCGCCGCCGGAGCAGTAAGGTATGGCCCAAGCGAAGAATTCAGGGGATTCTGATGTAGCTAGGAGACGTGGGAGAAACGGGTTCGGGTTTGGGTCATTGGAGAGACGCCGGAGGATCTGAATTTCCCACTTGGCACGGCGGAGAGAAGAGGCGGAGGATTTGTCGATGAGTTTCAGAGCGAATGGAGAAGAAGCAGAAGGGTCGGAAACAGAGTCGTGGACGAGGAAGACGGTTCCGGTGGCGCCTTTTCCGAGGAGTTTTAGAGCTCTGACCTTGTCGAGGTTGAGATTCATCGGCGGTGAAAATGTGGATGACGATGGTTGTGTCTCCATTGGTAGAGAGAAAGAGAGCGAGAGAGAGGTAAAAGGAAGGAGACGAGTGGGTCTGAAACGTTGCGTTTCTGTCTCCGTGTGTCCATATATATACTATAATAATTTCGATTGTTTCGCTTTAGATTTTTTTTCTTTTTTTCTTTGCATTATGCAATATTATAATCTTTTCATGATGTAATTGTAACTGTTGTTCGTTTCTTTCTTTCTATCAGTTACAATGTATAGCTAAGGATTTTATTGAACTTTATATTTGCCACTATGTTCACCAGAAAATATACATTAACACTTTCAAGTTTTTGCGTGTTCCGTGAACATTTATTTTTAATGGTAAAAATTACACAAACATTAATTTGATTACGGATTGCGAAAATTAGCCAGCTATACTGATATCATTATTTCTGGTTCTAATTATGATAATTATTTGGACAAATTTTTATATTTAAACTTCTGTCTGTGTATTTGTTTATAATATTAACACACTTTCCTCCCCACGACGAAAAAAATGGTTGATGATTATTCAGTATACTCCATTTCTTGTTTTTTTTTCTCACACTATAAAGATTTAAATGAAATGGAACACGTGCGGTTCATAATGCAACATAGCAATGTGTCGACAATCCAAACTGGACAGTCGTAACCACCACATTTATATATGTTACGCTGTATTAATTCTTTTGTAAATCTACAAATGGGTTACTCTCTTGCAATTATTAACCTACTTTTATTATTTTGTGTGAATTATTAAGTATCTTTGCTATATACATTTTCTAATGAATGTTCTACCTTCATAGAGTGAGTTGTTTTCTTTTGTATTACAAAATTGGTAATGGTAATAAAAGTGTTATATACATGTTGATGGATATGTAGCTTTTTCTTAGGTACATGTAATTTCCTATAGATGATTAATTACTAGTTAGATAGACCTAATCTAACTAAGCTAACCAATAATTCAGTATATCTAGAAAAGCTTTTATGATCGATGATGGTGTAGGTAGATGTAGATCCGGTACTTACTTAATTAACATGCTATCACTAAGGAAATTATTTTCTTAAAGTGTACATAACTCGAATTCTAATCTATTTATATGATCTGTATTTCGAATACATACATGTTGAATACTTAATACAGCATTACTGGTTAAAAAACTATAAATCTAATCCAGGAATTACATTTAGTAGAAATGTTGGCAGAGACGTAGATATGTATATGCATGCAAAATCAAAATAAGATTATATCATGAGATTACATTTAAGTGTTTGATTGTAACAATTTACAAGGGCAACCCATATCTATTATACGTAGAGATTAGAGCTCAGCTAGTTATATTGGATCCATAGATCTAATTAAAGATCTTTAAAATGGTTATAAGATCCACAGATATCTAAAGAAAACCAAGAAATTAGAAGATGGAAACTTCCTAGTATATGCAAGATTGCCTCCTTCCGTACATCAGATTAATCAACCAATTATGTCCGCGAGACACGCAAGATTCTCTTGTTCTTATCCCACCACCTAATTAACATCTCTTCTTAATTATTATTATTGTTTTCTCAAGTTGATTTTCACTAAATATATATGTGGTTTTGTAATCGCTTTCTCTAATCGCTTTCATTTTATATAAGATGTTAGGAAGAAGGAGCGTCGGGGCACGTGGGATGTCACCGTACGTACCATACAAATACTAATGATGTGTTTTCCAAATAATTGAGAGAGGTTAATATAAATTGTAAGAGAGTTATAACTTTAGG